ACAGAGGTCTTGTACTATCGGTAACTTAGGCAGAGGCCTAGGCTATTGTAAGACGAAGAAAGGAGAAGAAAGAAAAGAGAAGTATCGTTCCCCATCACCAAGAACTAACCATCCAACGAGGGATCATTACAGAGATACTTAAAACAAACCAAGTATTTAAGTGATAATTAAAACAAAACATAAAACAAAACCAAGTATTGAATGATACTTAAAACAAACCAAGTATCAAAGCGATACTTAAAACAAAACATAAAACAAAACCAATAACCTAGTACCCATACCAATTACATTACTGCTATGGCAAGAGAGTTTGGTGTGCTAGAATCATAACTATGAGCACAGTTCCAAGGATGGCAATCATGGCAGCACTGGATATTATCAACAATGAAGTTGACACTGAATCAGAAGCAGACGCGGTATCAGTTCTTTGATAGATTTGATACAATGGGTCTTCCCCACTAATATCGCAAAATGGGTACCTATGCCAATTCTATCTTTGTCCAAGCCCATCATGATACCAATTTGCCAGCTCCTATTGTGAGTCACATGTGAACTTGTAGGTTTCTTCAGAGGTATCTTAAATACCACATATTTAAGCAAAAAACCACTGACGTTGAGGGTAAGTAAGCTCACTGCACTGATGATCTCCAGACATGGTTTGTCCAGTGTCAGACAATCATCAAAGAAAAAGGAATCTTCACCTCTGATTGCTATAACTTTGATGAGATGGGGTTCAAGATTGGCATTGGGTGTGACCAATGGGTGGTTATCTGGGAGCCTGGATGTTACTCTCGTTTACTAGCTCTGGTAATTATGAGCTTATAACAGTTATTGAAACGATAAATGGTGATGGCAAGGCACTTCTGCCTATGATTATTGTATCAGGAATTATGATTATAGAAGATTGGTTTATGAAGACTGATCTTCTGGATGATGTTCTGCTTAGTGTTTCGGAATCTGGGTATTCAAATAACATGCAAGTTTTGAAATGGCTTTACCTGTAACATGTTTGCTAGGTGCTAATCACATTTTGGGGAGAATACGATAGTTAACAGGGGGCCTGCTCTTCTAGAGAGAAGGCGAGAGCTGTAAATTAAAGGAGTCTTCAAAGGTGTACTGGGAAAACTTAAATAAGTAACTCTTTAACTATGTATATTGAAATTGTTAGGAATACCAGAACCCGATACCTAGGAACCACCCTAAGTAGGGTAACCCCACTCGGAATTGGAATCTCTGGTCTCCAACACCCCCCTCCAGCTCCCTTATGGGGCCCGCACATCATCATATATATCAATCTCAGTTGCGTCCTGTGACTATATTACCACAGAATTGAAGGTGTTAGAATAACACCATATACGTCATCGCTGTCTGTCCGACCGGATCCTGTTCGCAGGATATATGAGAGGGGACCATCGGCTAGGTCTGAGAAGTGGAACGGAATGATTCCATCAACTATTCAGAGAGTTACGAGGCTCCAAAGACATGATACCTTTGGTATGGGCCATAAGTAACAGGACGATTTCGTACAAAGAGATGGTATCAAATGGTAAAGGATCTCTACTAGAGACCAATACATTTACATCTACCAGAAGAGTCTAGAACTCCAAAAGACACTACCAAAGAAGCAAACAAATTTTACAAAGTGTTGCAACTGGGTTTCGGAACACATCGTAGCTATGGGGTGATTCTCAATACTACAATGGTTACTGAAACCTACTACCCAGAGAGTAACCAAGGGTTGCCGACCGAGGGATTAATTACCAATCTGGTGGAATAGCTTCCTACGAGTTAATAGGAAGTCATCCTAAGAAAATCTATCGGTTGAGTATGGAGTTACAAAGGATCGGAGTCAGACGACCTACAATGGTTGTAATGATGACCACCTTTGCAGATATAGCCGTGGATAAAACTGATCATTTTATGAATGGCGAAGACAATTGGAGCCAACTCAGTTCGACTTAAGGACTAGGCCATAAGTCTGAAGACTCTGCTAATCGGGATACTACTATTGGGGACAGCACGCTTCCTAAGAAGAAATATCGTAATTACCGAAGAGGGTGTGATGATTTTCAGGGTCCACAGGTGTTCACACCTTGGAAGAAAACTCGACGTCGCGAATTACGATTGAAGAAGTACATAGTTGTATAATAAATAGATGTAGTCCGTGAACACTCAGACGTGGAATATAAATATTGAAGTGCCTCCCAAAGCTTTAGACATCATCAAGTAATGGAGAAGAAACCTTAACAATATAATATTGTTTTTACGATTCTACCCTACTTTACCTATTCTACATCACTCCTAGTAGTCATAAATGAAACGAGCCAAGTCTGAGCCTTTCTAGACAATCTCCGTCTACAGAAACGAATCTCGATTGGCCTAGACAACTTTGAAGTCTATTAAGTTGTCTCCGCATAACAGAAATACTGTCTGTCGAAGTCTACCTTTTCCATTATGGAATTTGGTGGTCTTTAAATACAAAAATCTGTTCATGTCTAATATGAATGAAACTAATCAAAGTTATCAAGCAATACACTTTGGTAAAAACAACTTAAGTATCAAAATGATACTTAAAACAAAACATAAAACAAAACCAAGTATCAAATAATACTTAAAACAAACTAAGTATCAGAATGATACTTAAAACATAAAACAAAACCCTTAACCAAGTACCAGTACCGGTTACATCACTATTTTGAAAAATACTTGTTAAAGTATCAAGTTGGAGCATGGCGATTGCTTTTCCTTGATGGGCATAATTCACAAATAATACTTAAAACAAACTAAGTATCAGAATGATACTTAAAACATAAAACAAAACCCTTAACCAAGTACCAGTACCGGTTACATCACTATTTTGAAAAATACTTGTTAAAGCATCAAGTTGGAACATGGCGATTGCTTTTCCTTGATGGGCATAATTCACATTGTACTTGAGAATTTATTAAGTTCTGTGATGAGAAAAAAATTCTTCCATTTTGTCTGCCACCTCATTGTACTCATCTTCTACAATCTTTAGATGTTGTAGTTTTTCAACCCTATAAGTACTATCATGCGGGGGTGGTTGATACAGCTACGAGAACAGGATGTTCCGAGTTTGACAAAGTGGAGTTTCTTACTGCACTAGACTCAATTTGCACACACAAGTTTAAGCCTACAATGATCATTTCAGCATTTAAGCAGACTGACTACTTCCCTTTAATCCCTCTATCATACTGGACAAACTATTGTCTATTGAAGAAGTGGAAATATCACAACCTCAGACACCTCCTTCCATCGAGCATGATTCCACAAACCATCCCACTACCCCATGAACAATTTCTTCACTCAAGTGAAGTGTCCATTTCCTACTATCCAAGATTAGTAAACTCTTACCTGCTACAATTCAGAGCCTTCAGATGTATCTGAAGGGCAGCCTACCGCAAGCTAAGACTGGGGCACTGGCTTTTGAAGACCTTCAGAACACTAAAGCAGCAGAAATGGCTTGTGCTGCACGGCAAAAGTGAAGTTGGATGTAACCAGTACAAGTACTCGGTTATTGGTTTTGTTTTATGTTTTGTTTTAAGTATCGCTTTGATACTTAAGGAGTTTTACCAAAGTGTATCGATTGATACCTTTGATTAGTTTCGTTCATGCTAGACATGAACAGATTTGTGTATTTAAAGACTGCCTGTTTCTACGATAGAAAAGACAGACTTCGACAGACAGTATTTCAATATACTTGGTTGAACGGTTACTTCTTTGTTTCCCAGTACGCCCTCAAAGTCTCCTTTAGTTCTCAGCTCTCGCCTCCTCTCTGGAAGAGCAGGCCACCTGCCAACTATCGTACTTAGTACCGATAACGTGATTAGCACCCTGCGAACACGTTACATTGGAGGTCTATCCAAAAATGCGGCACCCTCTATGCGCACGAAGCACGAGTAATCGTCTTACAAAAAGAGTAGGAAAGAGTAGAGCAGTTGTTGGAAAAGGAGTAAAGAACACTTGATAGTGCATAAAAGCAAGCCGAAAACAAACTCAAAAAACAGTGAAATGAGATTTCAAAGCAGATGAGGAGGGCAGTGAAGGATAGAAATACCCAGCAAAAGCAGCGCAAGCTTTTTTGCCATGAAATTGGGTACCATATTGTAAGTATTTCTCCTCATTTATACTAAATCTTGTTGAAGGTTCTAGATTGATGTTGGTCGATTGGGGTAGATTGTGGAGGTTTTGGAAGTCTGACAATCAGTTTAATGGATTAGTGTGGAGGTTGAGAGATTGACAGGAGATTCACCGGACATGTCTTTCCGTTGTTATCATGGGAGTGTATGGAGGAAAGGGTAGCATGCTTGGAGAGATACGGATACATGTGGTGATTCATGGAATGATGGGGATATGTTTATGTTTTACTTATACACCTGTCTTTACTGTTAATTTAGAAAAGAGAGTGTAAAGTTTTTTTTCTTCTTACCTTACGCCTTTTTGCATGTCCTACCATAGCCCCCGCATAGTCCTTTAGTTTCTCTCCACCGCTGTGCAAGTTAGTCGTTGACTGTTATACTCCTCCGTCACAAAAAATCTCACGTTGAGCTATTACTTGTGTTGAGCTGTTAGGCACTCTTCTGGAGTGCCACCGCCCTCGAAGGTCGCTTAGCGTCTTTCGAAGGGGTGGGAACCTTGGCACAGGTAGTAGGAATTTTCAGAGGGGAGGAAGGTGGGAGGTGTGTGTGTGTGTGCAATAGCTTTAGACTCGGAAGGTTTCCTCGGGTCCATGACCAATCTTGGGTTTCAGGTTTCTCCCTGCCCGTCTGCATGCCCACCGCCTGCGCTGTTGTGGCTCAGGTTATATTCTATGATACTACAATAGCATAATAAACCGCCCGGTTGAGCTTAGTCCGGTCATTAATCATTCATTCTCCAAAAAAGGAACGCCACTAAACCTAACAAGTCCTACCCCTTCTCCCCTTCCGCGCCCCCCTTCCCCCCGGCGAGGCCGCTCCACCGCTCCACCGCACCACCAATCACACCCCATTACTCCCGACCAACCTCGCCACACAAGCCACAACTTCGTTCCCAGCGAGCTCCAAGCCCGGGTCGTCAATCTTGTCCTGCAACACCTGGTCAAGCATGGCGCGCAGCCTAGCGACCAGAATCCCGATCCTTCCCCACCCTCGCAACTTGAGCCATCCATCGACCGTGATACCGCGCCCCGTAGTATCGACTTCTAGTGCACCGCCAAAGAGGAGGAGGGAGTATGCGTTTGTCGCTATTCCCAAGTTAGCATAGTGGTATAGAGGATTAGGGAGTGGGGAGAATACGTGTAACGTCTTTGAGATAGACTTTATTGTTAGTTTCCATTTTCGAAAAGTAGCTCAAGAACCTAGCGTCGCCGGTGAAACCGGTTGCGCCGAAGAGCGTGGAAGAAGGATGGACAAAGGCGCGGCCGGAGGAGTGCGTATAGTACTTGATTGTCCTCGCCTCCGGGTCTACAGCTAACGCGCCGCTAGCGGACCCCGCGAATCTCTGCTCCGGTAATGCAATCCTCGCAATCTGCGGGTTGAAGGCCGCGGCGATGAGCGCTCTGTGGAGGACAGCGTATTCTTGGTTTTGATTTAGACTTGCGAAATCGCTGAATGAAGATGAGAGTGGGAGGAACCCGATTTCCTTCAGGGAGGAAATGTACTGTGCTCGATTCGAGGATATGTCGAGAAGTGTATGGTGGCTTAGATGGTTCTCTTCGCACCAACGCTTGACGTCCCTGACTGAGGTTGTTTGGCGGAGGCGCGTCCATTCCTGGTGGGCGTGACAGTCCGCTAAAAGGTCCCCTTGCCCGTGGGCGAAGGATGCGCGCGCGAGTTGGCAGGCATCACGGGTCGCGGGGGTATTTATAAATGGGCTTCGGGTGGTGAGTATGCTAGCGATCGTCACGGAAACGTCCAAGCAGCCGAATATGGCGCCGTACACCATCAGCTTGGAGCAACGGAGGTCCGCCGGGATGAGAACCAAGTGCCTTCCCAGGGCAGTCAGATCATCGTCTGCTATCGCACCCATGCGCTCGAGAAGTCTCATCGCGCCTTCTACTGCCATGGTATCCGGGGGTGTTAGTGCCCCCGCTAGGAAACCGCGGACGTCGTCTTCCATCGCTTTCACCGCGAGACAGGTCTGCTCAAGCGGAACGCGCTTTAATTCTGGCTCGGGCCGCTCAGCCATTTTGTTTTCCGCGTTGCGGGTGTAGAGCTTCCAGCACGAGCCGGCGCGGACACGGCCGGCGCGGCCGCGACGTTGCTTGCATGCTGCGCGGGAGGCCCATGTTTCGAGAAGTTTGACGACACCACTGGAGGGATCGTATGAAGTTTCTTTCACTCTCCCAGTGTCAACTACTGCTACTATGTCCTCAATTGTGATGGAGGTTTCCGCGACGTTGGTTGCTGCGATGACCTTGCGCTTGCCACTGGGCGGTTGGGGGAAGACCTTACGCTGGTCGTTGGGAGTGAGGGAGGCGTGAAGAGGCAGTGCGTGAAAGCGCTCTATCCCACATGGCAAGGTCTTGATAGCTTCGATGCATCGTTGGATCTCCATAGTCCCTGCATCCGTGAGCAATAATATCGAGTGAGAGAATGTGATTGGATTACCTGGTAGGAATATTAGAATCCCTCCGTCATGAGATCCAAGCATCTCATCGATAGTACCGACCGTGGCTGCGATGAGGTTATAATTTATCCTGTCCCCTAAACTCATGATAATACTAGCAACCCTCGGATCCGCCCCCCGAACATCCTCATGATCGGCAGCCTTGACAGGCATTAACCTCCCCCCACCGTTAAACCCAGTCTTGACAATAACCTGGTCGAGATAGTAATCCTCAACGGGGAACGTTCGACCCTTAATCTCGACCCTACGGACCTTACCCTCCCCGCCAAAATAGTCTGAGAAAATCTTCGCATCAAGAGTAGCGCTCATGAGCACTACTCTGAGATCCTTCCGAGCAGCCAACTTCCTTTTTAATAGGATTAGCAAGAAGTCTGTATCGAGGCTACGCTCGTGCACCTCGTCGACGAATATGTGGGTTACTTCATCGAGGGTATCGCCCATTTGGAGTCTCCGGAGGAGAACACCTGTGGTGACGAACGTGATCCTGGTCGTTGCGGGATTCTGCTTAGATTCGCCGCGGATTGCGTACCCGACTTCCTGACCCACTCGGGAGCAGCGCTCATCGCTGACTCGGTCCGCTAAGCCTAGAGCAGAAATACGGCGGGGTTGGGTACATATGATATTCGTGATATGTCCTAGATGCTGGTCGATCATGTCGTCTAGGATGAATTGGACAGCCTGTGTACTCTTCCCACTTCCAGTCTCACCGCTAATAATCGTGACCTGGCAATCATTCACGGCGCCAATTATTTCTTCCTTTAGATCCCATGCCGGTAGGCGCATGCGTACTTGCAGCATGTTTTGCATATCGGGCAAAGAGTATTTGGCCTTTTTGGTCGCGAGTAATCGCATACTAGCTTCTTTACCGGGAGTCCAATCAATGGCCCCAGAGTTTCTTGAGTTGCGATGTCGGAAGGTTTGCCTGCTGGCTTTGTTCGGGGGTGGAACATCATCTTCGTTGCTGCCAGTAACACCACTAGTGACATCGCAAAGTCTACCCGGGGACTGGACAATTCTAGCGATATTGCTCTCTAGCCAGTCTACCGCTGTAAATATCATCTGCTCTCCAAGAAGAGTGCTTGCATGCTTTGCTGTCTGCTTGATGATACTGAGCTTGACCTGCGCCGACAATTTATCGTCCCCATCATCCTCGGTGGAAAGTGTGAATGTCGGGATCGTCTGCGGGTATTCTAGTTCCCAAGTCGCCGAGGTCGGCTTCCGGATCTCTAGAAATATCTTTTTGGGCAATTTCGAGCCCTGTATAGGGGGATTGGAAAGCAGCACTTTGAAGTGAGTGGGCGTAATCTGGGTGAACCTCTCGGGGCCCCAGATTGCCGCCAGAGTGCCGATTTCCTCTGTCCAGAGGTCGGTATCTGAGAAAGAAATCAACGACTCTTCCCTAGTGCCTTGGGGAGTCTTTTGGCAGCCGTAAACTAGAAGTTGCATCAAAGCTTCTGCTGCACGCTCTTCATCTCCGGCGTTGAGGGCGAGAATTTCACGACAGAGATCTAGAGAGTAACCAGTGACAGATAATCCTGGAACAGAGTTAGCAACGCCAATGACAATTGTGGATGAGGAGCCATGCGTTTAGCAGCGTACTCCATGGGCAGATCCCCAGAAGAAAACGTCACACCGGTAGCATAATTCCCCGGCAAAAACCTGACCGGAAGGTCATCCTCCGGAACATGAATTAACAACCACTCTGCCACCCAATTAGCCACAATCTCCTCATTAAAAGGAGAGTATCCCCACAAGAGCCCCCACCTAAAGCTTCCTCCTTGTCCTTCACCCAATCGCAAGCCTCTTCAACATGCGCCCTCTTGAAATCTAACCTAACAAGCTCCGAAACGACCTTCGACATCAAATCCCTGGTCATGCTGACCCCAACCGGATTCCAAACATGATACTTCCGGACCAACCCTTCTACTTCCCTCCTTTGACTAATCCCCATGTCCACAACAGGAACTCGATACCACCCCTTCATCTTCTCATCGACCACCTCGGCAGGCTTCTCCTTTTTAACCTCCGCCAGGGCCTTCGCCTTGGCAGCTTCCGCCGCCAACCACTCTCGTTTGTCGAGGAATGGGTCAGCAACGTACATCCACGCATGATTCTTTGCGAATTCCATCCTCTTGATCTCGTCGAATATAGCCCAGTAGCTCTTGTGTGTCGGCGGGAGCATCATGTGGATATTCTTCATGGAGGAAACGCGGTGGAGGGCATAAGTAGCGGCGAAGTGCCTGGCCTCGAGTGCAGAGGCCATCTGTAGGTTTATTGGAGTGCCGTCGGGCATCTCGAAGGGCGGTGTATAGCGCATTGACTCTGTGTGACTGGATTTGGGATTGCTGTATGTCACTGTTACTGACGATACGAAACCTTTCGTGGCGTCCTTCTTCTATTGTGTTAAAAGGAAAGGAAAAGGAGCACTCTATTAGTAGATATGTTCGTCAATGTGCTCGGGGAAGCATGGAATGAGCTGCATACAACATAATAGTCCGGCTTATTCCATCCTGCCTTTATACAGTGCTCATAAAACAGTGTCTGTGGTAACTTCCCGGTCCAGGATAACCCCCCGATTAATTGCTGCACCGTTAATGTCCTACTTTCACCTCCCTTAGAGGCAGAGGCGGAGCTCCCAGCCTCACTACTAGTAACAACGGGAGCTTTCCCCTTAGATCCAACGGTCGTCCTGCTAGCCTTGTTTGTCCCCGGTTTCGCTTTCGACTTCTTCGCTGAGGAACCCGCGGGGGATGGTGGGGGTGGTGATGCCTCCGGACTCTCGGCCACGGATGATCTGGAACTCTTTTTCTTCGGGGGCATGTGTATATATTTCTGTATATGGGTGTGTGTATTTGCTTATTGCCGTCGGTAAAGTATGTGGGTGGGAATTCGGGTTTATGTTGTGTTGGTCGCGCAGGTTGTTGGGGGTGGTGGGTTAGCTTACTCGAGTGGGGTGTCTACGGGAGGCAGGTTGCGGGGCGGGTAATCGTGTGAGGGAACTTTGTATACAAAGAGTGTCGTAGGGATAACTGGATATTAGCTTATCGCGGAAATTTACATGCAAATTACCCGCAGATTGCGATGATACAACTATCTTCGCCAAGCTTTGAGGCTTATGATTGATAAGGGTTAGGGTTGTGGATGAAAAATGTGAATATTCAAAATCAATCTCATTTTACATCTCCATTCCCCCACTACCATCACCGTCAAGATATTGGCTGTCTGCAGGGATTCGCAATGCCAAACAAAAAAGGCCGCAAAAAGAACTTGCCTAAGATAGAGTTTCTCCCCCTCCCCCCCCTCCCCTCACTTCCCCACCCCCTCCATAACTGTTCGGACCTGCTGACAAAAATAAAATTAGCTACGACCTCCCAACTCCGATAGCTCAATCTCCAACAAAGAAGCGCAAACGCTCCCGGAAAGCTGATGACGATACCCCAAGGGAATTTACCCGCCTCCTCTCCCGCATCCAACAAAGCAAACCCAAGCCAAACGGCCTCGACGACCCCCCTACGAAATCGCAGAAGCCCCACCTGGCCTCAGAGCTGAAAATCCAACCTAGTGAATCCCTCCGGCAATTCAACCGTCGCATCGACGCCAGTCTGCGAATAACGCTGAAACCAGGGGGCAGTAGCAAAGCACAGCGCGCGAAGGAGAAGAAGAGGGAAAGAGCTAAGCCTACTTCTGTTGCCCACGGTGGCCCCAACGATGGTGATAGTGAAGGAGAAGCTTGGGGAGGGGAAGGGGGAAAGCGTGAGCGCGGAAGGAATAAAGGTCGTGCAGTTAGTCCCGACCCCTGGGCTGCGCTCGCGGAGAAGCGACTGGCGGTTAAGTTCTCGGATTTTGCGAAGGCTCCACCGACGCTTGTTAAGCCTAAGAGTGTGCTGCACTCGTGCGGGATTGCTGATGTTGAGGGGGTGCCGAAGAGTTCGGGTGGTTTGGCTAGGAGGGAGGGGTTGGCGGGGGAGAGGAGGGGGATAGTGGAGGGGTATCGGAGGATGGTGGAGGAACGGAGGGGGGGTAAGGGGATTGGTAGCTAGTCGGGGGGTGGATGGATGGAAGGCGGGCGTTTTGTTTGGTAGTATTGGAAGTTGTAGGGGGTGGGAGTGTGGTATAGTAGACTAGGTAGGTCACTATCTGAAGCAGTTGATAACGGAGATACTGGCGTATATTCCAGGCCACCGGCAGCATGATAAAAGGATGTGGGTTCGGTTTCCAAGGATACTCATCACAGGTCTTGTAACTTCGTTTCTCTAGCTAACTAGCCACCTGATCAGCAGAAAAGTAATAAAACAAAAAGAAAAAAAAAACGGGAACGTGTTTAATACTCTCGTCGGTTGAGTAAACGATCGTTTTCAATCTCCGGTCTGAGTTGGGTGGGGCGGGACTGCATGTGCTCTTTCATTCTCAACTCCAGCAGGCCAATCTGCTTTCCGGCTTGGTCTTGACATTGGCCACCTGACTTTTAATATCATATTGGTTTCGATAGTGTTGTCGAACCCGAACTTCCCGCCCCCACTCCCGACTGGACCGTGCCCACGGCCGGAGCCAGGAATTTCCCACTTAAGATTGTTATTACTGGACTCAATCCTGCTCAGGTTTGTGTTCAAGTTCCTGGTATCTTTGGCTCAGGCTCCATTCCCGACCTTGATATCCGCTTCGGCTTTAGAAGTCTCACCTCAACCGTGTGATCCAGAGGAAAAATGAATTTTCCTCTGCTGGCGTCTGTTGCATCGAACTGCTCATCCGTAGTTCTCCCCTGCCGAGCCAATCATTGATTGAGATGCCATTAACAGAAAAAACTAGGGATTTATATCTCACCGGAGTATTGGCAAGCGGTTAGCGGGCGTAGACTTGATGACGGCTGGGGTGGGCGAGCATGGGACGGCAAGCAGGCCAGAATGCAGACATCTGTTACATATCCTGTATGAGAAACTCATTGAGTAACTCCCCAATATGGGCACTTTTTCAGGCTGTATTGATTTGTTGGTGTTGGGATATTTCTGAGCTTCTCTGGTTGGGTGGTAGGGCGGTGTCATAGTACAAGTATCATAGGTGGGTAGGTGGTTTGTAAGAACTGAATACTCGACTAGGAGCGCTGGGCACCAACTAAGGGGCTGTTTCACTAGACTGCCATTTGAGATGACTGTCATCTCAAAACGTGTTTTGCTGAACACGTTTACGAAATTTCACTAAACATGCTTTGTAAACAACGCCCTTCCAAACACTCTGTGATCCAGAAACTGTCATCTAGGTTTTTTATTGACAATTGAGCATAAAGTTAGGCCAGACAAGACTCGGAATAGTGAAAGAGAACAATAGAGCTAAAGTGCATAATATTCACAAAAAGTCACTAGTGAAAATAATGTACATCATAATCACCTCTATTAAAACACCTGATCAAGCCAAGAAAATGCATTAACTAATTCAATGCAATGATACCATTGTTAATAGAGAACCAGGAAATATGATCCAAGCAATATCTAGCGGAGACTCGTGGGGACCAATATGTTATGATCAGCTTATCAATGTAATAATAGGTGGGCCCTACAGGTAGTAATGGCCACAATCAGATCATGATCGGTCATGATCGCTCACTCTATCTATATATGTATAAATTGTTCGTTAACAAAAATAACCGACCCCCCAAGGTGCGCGGCAACCATCATCCATCACCTCCCCCCATTTTCAACCCCATCAAAAGAAATTGCATCAACTGAACCAAAACCCAATCACATTATCTCATTCTTTTTGAGAATACCTACACAATACCAGCGAATCCCCATCCCTCCCTGTAGAATACCAGCCAATATTTGTGAATGCCAGCAAAATGCAATGTTTCACCCATTGCCAAGAAAATAACTCTTCAACTTCTAAGCAGGAAAACACAATCATAAAAAATTATAAAAAATCGAAATATTTTTTTGGAAAATGAGCCAGCATTGAATGCATTTATTAGAATTTTACCTTTTCTGGGGGGAAGTCTTAGGACCTGTTTGGCAGGCCAGGGTTAGACTAGGATTTGGACTTAAAGTTGGGACTTAAAAACCAAAGTCCAGAGATTACAAAGTCCAGACATTGGAATCCAGCAACACCAAACACAACCAGATTTAGATTAGGACTATAGAAAATTTGTTTATCTGATGTAGAACAATAAAGATAAGGTTTAGGCAGGTACATTATTTATATGTACATAAGATACAGTCACTAGACAAGAGTCTTGGTAAAAGCTTAGTCAGCAGTGCTAAGTGAGAATAAAAACTACCACTTAGAAGAAATATCACATACACATTACCGGTTGGGTTACACTACTATACAAACAAAGCTCACAATGCCTTCCAAAGGAGTACATCGATCCTAGTATCAGACTAAAACGGCACACTGGGAGCTCACAAATGTCATAAATGGCATGGTTATTGCCTTTCTCTTCCCCTTTCAGACCATATCTACTGTTGTACATCTAATTGGTCGGTCCTGGTTGACAGTGTGGAATGTTCTCACTAGAGCATGTAGGTAAGGATCAATTGAGAATCTCCCCCTATCTAGAAGACCTACACTCCTCTATCGCCGAGACAAATGCACCATAATAGGCGCCACCAAGGATGATCATGTGATGACCTGTTTGGAGTTGTGTAACTGATACACAACGTGTAACTGGTACGGGTACTCGGTTATTGGTTTTGTTTTATGTTTTGTTTTAAGTATTGCCTTGATACTTGGTTTGTTTTAAGTATCGTTTGATACTTGGTTTTGTTTTATGTTTTGTTTTAAGTATCGCCTTGATACTAGGTTTGTTTTAAGTATTGTTTGATACTTGGTTTTGTTTTATGTTTTGTTTTAAGTATCGCCTTGATACTTGGTTTGTTTTAAGTATCATTTGATACTTGGTTTTTTTTTATGTTTTGTTTTAAGTATCGCTTTGATACTTGGTTTGTTTTAAGTATCGTTTGATACTTGGTTTTGTTTAGTTTTAAGTATCGCTTTGATACTTAAGGAGTTTTACCAAAGTGTATCGATTGATACCTTTGAATAGTTTCGTTCATGCTAGACATGAACAGATTTGTGTATTTAAAGACCGCCTGTTTCTACGATAGAAAAGGCAGACTTCGACAGACAGTATTTCAATATACTTGGTTGAACGGTTACTTCTTTGTTCCTCAGTACACCCTCGAAGCCTCCTTTAGTTCTCAGCTCTCGCCTCCTCTCCGGAAGAGCAGGCCACCTGCCAACTATCGTATCCTTTACCGATAATGTGATTAGCACCTTGCGAACACGTTACACAACATATGTTTCTTTTAGAACAATCGATCGAGTGCTTGGTAATGTGAAGGTGCGCAAGTGGCTTGCCCAGAAAAGACCAAAATTAAAAGAACAGTACTTTAGTGCTAGACTTGTATGGACTATAGAGAGAAAGGATTGGATGATTAATAATTTTTATGGGATCCTGTAAAGTGATAAGTGTACCATGCTGAAATCGGCAGATCCTGGGTACATTTGGGTGTTTTAGAACTCCCAGGAGAAGTGGAAGGTGGATTGTATTCAACGGAGAGCAAAGGCAAATGAGGCTGGGCTCATGGTAGGGGCATGCCCTTGGGGGAAAAGGCGGGGTCCATTGGTCTCAATTAGGGAGGCCCAGGTAGACAGACATGTCAATATTGGAGTGCTAGAGTCTGTTTTAGGACTAGTTATAGAAGACATAGCTGAGCACTCAGAGGTTAAAGATCCACTGTTTCAGCAAGATAATCTGAGAGTTTATACCGCAAAAGACAACTTAGCTTGCCTGGAAGAAAATGATATAGATCTTATAACGTGTTCGCAAGGTGCTAATCACGTTATTGGTAAAAGATACGATAGTTGGCAGGTGGCCTGCTCTTCCAGAGAGGAGGCGAGAGCTGAGAACTAAAGGAGGCTTTGGAGGTGTACTGAGGAATAAAGAAGTAACTATTCAACCAAGTATATTGAAATACTGTCTGTTGAAGTCTGCCTTTTCTATTGTAGAAACAGGTGGTCTTTAAATACACAAATCTGTTCATGTCTGGCATGAACAAAACTGATTAAAGGTATCAATCGATACACTTTGGTAAAACTAATAAAGTATCAAAGCGATACTTAAAACAAAACATAAAATAAAACTAAGTATTAAACGATACTTAAAATAAACCAAGTATCGAAGTGATACTTAAAACATAACACAAAACAAAACTAAGTATCAAACGATACTTAAAACAAACCAAGTATCAAAGCGATACTTAAAACATAACACAAAACAAAACTAAGTATCAAACGATACTTAAAACAAACCAAGTATCAAAGCGATACTTAAAATATAACACTAAATAAAACTAAGTATCAGACGGTACTTAAAACAAACCAAGTATCAAAGTGATACTTAAAACATAACGCAAAACAAAACTAATAACTGAGTACCCATACTGGTTACAGATCTGGAAGATCATCCACCCCTCTCGCCCAATCTGAACCCAATCGAACATGCTTGGGTAGAACTTACGCACCACCTTCACACGCAGTATCTGGATATTCTAGACACTATGGGGTGGGCTGAGAAGTACAGGATAGGTTAGCTGAGGTCTTATCCCATGTCAGGGCCACTATTCCAGACAGCTTCTTTGAGAAGCTCTGGAAATCTATGCCTTCTATGGTGGCTGCGGCGATTGAGGTAAAAGGGTGGTATATGAAGTACTAGTTGTATTTAATGTTGTATATTTTTCTACCATTGCTTCCTGGTCGTGCAATGCCACCTGTGTACTGATCATGTTTCAGATAGTGCAATCACCAAGACTTATGTCTAGTGACTGTATTCAATATAATCTATTTTAGTAATATTAGTATGATAAAACAATATCTATTATTATAATCACACCTTTTTTATTTTCTCACTGGTTTAAGGCTTGTCTCGCTTACTATATCTAATAACTCTTTTCCAACAATGAATGAAGCCTGTATACCTCAAGTCCCAGTAGTTGGAGGCGTCCTTACAGCATGTGGTCTTTTGTTAGCAACCAGAATTGGCTTTCAGTAGAAGATACAATATTGTACATCGGTTCTATCAGACCAACAGTATACTGATGAGCTGATAGAGTGTGGACATGAAGGCCGGATATTGGAAAGTTTGTGGATAACCAAAAGAACCTTTTTAAAGCTTTGTCACAAGTTACGAAAATAAAGAGGTATACAAGATACGCAATATTTGACTGTGAAGTACCAACTATATAAGTTTTTGTACCGAGTTACCAATAGTGTGAATACATACAATATCAAGAAGCACTTTCAACATTCATTTGAAACTGTACAACTATTGTTATATATGATTCTCGATGCTCTAGGCAATATGAAAGAAGAGTATATAAAACTTTCAACTTTCTACCCAAATGATGACCTCGATATTTCATGGGAAATCACCAGTAACCAAGAGTATTATCCCTTCTTTAAGAATTGTTTAGGAGGTGTTGACAGTTCTCTAATTCCTGTCACGGTTCCTGCTATTGATGCTGGTATATACTGTTATCGTAAGGGATTCACTGCTCAGAATATATTTATTGCAGTATCATTTGATCTTACCTTCCAATATGTTCTCAGTGGATGGGAAGAATCAGCCCATGACGCCTGAGTATTAGATGATGCAAAGCAGAAGGGGTTTGAAATTCCTGAGGGTAAATATTACCTTAGAGATGCAGGATACAGAGAGTCTACCTCACTGTTAGTTCCTTATCGTAATGTTAGAAATCACCTTAAAGAATTTCAGCAAGGTAATTTGAGGCTAGTAGTGGATTCCTAATTGGATTAAATGTATTTTAGCAGGGTTAAATGTGTGTTATGATATTAATATTATATTGGGAATATTAGGCCACAGAATGCGAAGAAGTTACTTAACTTAAGACATTCCTCATTATGCAATTCTGTCAAATGAATGTTAGGGATTTTGAAAATG